AGGTTGTTTGTTGCCGCGACTCGGGCGCCATGCGGGAGATCGTGCACATCCAGGCTGGCCAGTGCGGGAACCAGATCGGGGCCAAGGTAGAGAGCGGGGGGCCGGGCTGGGGGGGCCGGCGCTGTGGCCCCTGTCACGGCGCAGAGGCGAGATCGCCACGGGGCGCTGCTGGAGCCTGGGCACACTGGACGCTGAAAACATCATGGGGGGGGGGTGACTTTCTGTGGCTCAAACACCTGCTTCAGCTTCCCGTCCCGGCTGCGGCGCCTCGGCACAAACCTCATGGCGCTAGAGGGGAGATGGGCTGCTGTCGGGGCGGGGGGGGGTCATGCTGCGACAGCCCGATATCCGTGCTCTGAATTCACAATGGCTCTCCTCGCCTTGCTGATGCAGCTGCCGCGCCCCTGTGCGCAGGGATGCCACCCGGGCTTGCAGCAGAGATGCTTCCAGTGCGTCACAGCTCTTGTGGGCTCTTTCTGCCTCTAGCTACGTCCCCAGCGGGGAAACAGCTGGGTTTCCTTTAGTATCTAGCAACCTACATCAATTTGAAGGCTACATCTGGTTAGAGAGACTGTAATTCTTGACCCCTGTGGGAACATTTCAGGAAGCAGTACAATTTTGTTACTGTATCTGATCTATACCTTTGCTGTTGGACACTGCAGTTTAGTGGTGGTTTTCCTCAGTCCAGCTATACCAATTCTCACTCGCTTCTGTGATGTGTGTATAAATATCTGTTTGTCTCCCCAAGGTGCAGTTATTGGTTAGCGTACTCCATTGGCTGGGCAGGGGTAGGTTTGTGGAGCTAGAAAAGACATGTTGGATCCCTCCTGACACCATAATGCAATTACTCAGTGCTTTTTTCCTAAACCCCTATTTCAGTTCTGGGAAGTCATCAGTGATGAGCATGGCATTGACCCAACTGGCAGCTACCATGGAGACAGTGACTTGCAGTTAGAAAGGATCAATGTTTACTACAATGAAGCTGCTGGTAATTATACACCGTTTGTTTCTTCAGCCCTTTGTAATTTTGCTAAGTAAACTAAAACAAAAAACAGGTGTAGAGGTGTACCACTCATTATAACTGGAACTGCTAGTGTAAAGGAATTTGCTATTGACCATGGAAGCTTTGTTAAAGGGCTGAGTCTTTCCAAGATGGCTCTACTGAAAATTCTTTCCCTTTTGTCAGTGCGCAGTCTCTCCTGGGAGCTGGGTTGCTTTGAGCAGCCTCAAAAGCAGCGAGTTGACTGTGTCTGTAACGCTGTTTTTCTTCCTCCTATAGGTAATAAATATGTGCCCCGTGCAATCCTTGTTGATTTGGAGCCTGGTACAATGGACTCTGTCAGATCTGGACCCTTTGGTCAGATCTTCAGACCTGACAACTTCGTTTTTGGTATGTAGCTTTACATACAGCTGCAGCTACTGCAGTCTGGCTTGCGATGACCCAATTAAATACCCCATAATGCTCTTTGTACTAATAACATTTTTTGTATATATTCGAGTGCACCCTTCCTGATTTTTTTTGGGGGGAGGGGGGGTTTGCATGAAACTTGTATGGATTAATTCAGCTTTTTAACTTTCAGATTTGAAAAACACAAATTGAACCATGCTATAAACAATAGTCAGCTGATCATTGTAAATCTATTTTAGGTCTGTAAAATTATCCTCTGTCTACTATCTAGAATGTAATAGTTCTCATCACTTGGACTCCATATCATGTTCTAGTGACTAAATCAGCATCTTTCCACTCTGCCTTCTAGGTCAGAGTGGTGCTGGAAACAACTGGGCAAAAGGCCACTACACAGAGGGAGCTGAGCTAGTGGACTCTGTCCTGGATGTGGTAAGAAAGGAATCGGAAAGCTGTGACTGTCTACAGGGTTTCCAGCTGACCCATTCTCTAGGTGGTGGCACAGGGTCTGGGATGGGAACTCTCCTCATCAGCAAAATTAGAGAGGAGTACCCAGACAGAATCATGAACACCTTCAGTGTAATGCCATCTCCAAAGGTGTCAGACACAGTGGTTGAACCCTACAATGCCACCCTTTCTGTCCACCAGTTGGTGGAGAATACGGATGAAACCTACTGTATTGACAATGAAGCCTTGTATGACATTTGCTTCCGCACGCTGAAACTCACAACCCCTACCTACGGGGACCTCAACCACTTGGTCTCCGCCACCATGAGTGGCGTGACCACCTGTCTCCGGTTCCCCGGACAGCTGAATGCCGATCTCCGCAAGCTGGCAGTCAATATGGTGCCTTTCCCTCGACTGCACTTCTTCATGCCAGGGTTTGCCCCGCTAACTAGCCGGGGCAGCCAGCAGTACCGTGCCCTGACGGTGCCAGAGCTGACGCAGCAGATGTTCGATTCTAAAAACATGATGGCAGCCTGCGATCCCCGCCATGGCCGCTACCTGACTGTGGCGGCGATATTCCGTGGCCGAATGTCCATGAAGGAGGTGGACGAGCAGATGCTCAATGTCCAGAACAAAAACAGCAGCTACTTTGTGGAATGGATCCCCAACAATGTCAAGACGGCTGTCTGTGACATCCCCCCTCGTGGCCTCAAAATGTCCGCCACTTTCATTGGGAACAGCACAGCCATTCAGGAGCTGTTCAAGAGAATCTCTGAGCAGTTCACTGCCATGTTCCGGCGTAAGGCTTTCTTGCACTGGTACACTGGCGAGGGCATGGATGAGATGGAGTTCACTGAAGCAGAGAGCAACATGAATGACCTGGTCTCAGAATACCAGCAATACCAAGATGCCACTGCTGATGAGCAAGGAGAATTTGAAGAGGAAGGAGAGGAGGATGAGGCATAAGGCAGTTGGTACTAGAAAAACTCTTTTAAAGCAGGCATGTAGTCAGAATGAATTCTGACAGTGGTGATAAAGCATGTTCTTCATTGCAGTGTACTGGATTATCTGTTAAATTTTGTAACCTTAACAAAAATCTCTATGTAATAATTGTGAAGTCAAGTTTATTGATGACTTTGATTTAAGTTTTTAAAACGCATAAAGGCATGTGTTCCAAATATCTTCTGGTTTTTTCTTTAAAACAGGTCTCCTCTTCTCATATAGCATTCCTTTTTTAATATATATACTTGTATTAACGTCATACTTCATGCTCCTTGATATGGAATTCAGGTACTTGCAACATAACAATCTTGATCAAGTAAAGCACAGATTTAATGCTACTTCACTATTACTCTTGTTAGACAAATTCAGCTCTGCCAGGAGCGTCTCAATTATCAAGCAAGACACAGTAGGTATCTTAATTTACCTCTAACTAGCATAAATGAGATGTCCTTTTACATTTTCTAATAATGGAGAATCAAACTAAATAAAATCAGTATCATAACAGGAATACGGCCTGGACGGGGAATATAATTTAAATACACTAAAATAATCATACATAGACTGTTTAGTACATAATTGAGTTTAACAAACTAAGTCTGTCGTAGGAAATTTTCTACTACTTTGTTGAACTCTTCTGCAAATCGTAAATGTAGATTGTGCTTTCCTTCTGGCATCAGAAACAACCTAAAAATAAGTAAGTTGTGCATTTAGAATTTTACTTTATGCATATACAACACATAGGGTAACTACGGGACTGTGGTAACCAAGTGCAAAATTTGAAGCAATGCCTGTTCTCCTCACCCCCCCCCCCCCCCCACCACTCAAGTTTAAAAATTAGCTGAGTAGAAACTTTGATGGTAGACCACCTGTGCCTACAAATCTAAATTCCAGCTTTGGGGAAAACAATTTTGTTTCTGGAACAAAGGAAACCATGTTAGATGAGTGCTAAATGTAAATCTCTGGGAAACCTTGTCAGAAGTCAGATGGCTTTTTTTTACCTGATGCAGAGGGTTAACCTTCCAGAAGTGGCAACACTGAAGTCCACAGCACTTGTCTTCAGGGAAAAGGGCAAGGTGATGGTCATGAGACGAAATGGGTTTTTTTTTCCTCCGCAGAGGAGGGAGTAGCTGTGCTGGAGTGGGGGGGAGGAGACTCATGGTGACAGCTGAGACACACTAAGGGTACAGCTAGACAAGTGTTTTGTCAGAAAAAGGTATGTAAAATGCACTACGCATTTTACATACCTTTTTCCGATTCTTTTGTCAGAAGCTTTTCTGACACTTCGCCTGTCTAGAGTGGGCCAAATGTTGGACCAAAAAACCCTTTCGGAAGCCCCTTCTTCCTCATAGAACAGGGAATACACGGGCTTCTGAAAGTGTGTGCTCTTCCTCAAAAAAAAAAGGGGGGCAGAAGAGCAAATGTGGTCCCTAGATGTGGTGGAAGTTTTTTTTTGGGTTACCTCTGGTAGCCCAAAAACCCCTTGCAGTCTAGCCATACCCTTAGGCTGCGTCTAGACTCGCATGATTTTGTGCAAAAGCAACTTATTTTGCGCAAAATCTTGCTGCCTGTCTACACTGGCTGTGAGTATTTGCACAAGAACACTGACTTTGATGTACAAAATCAGTGGTTCTTGCGCAAACAGCGATGCTCCCACTCAGGGATAAGCCCTCTTGCACAAGTATTCTTTAGACAAACATTAATTTCTTGTGCAAGAAAGCCTGATGGCTAAAATGGCCATCAGCGCTTTCTTGCGCAAGACAGCATCTACACTGGCCTGGATGCTTTTGCACAAAAGCAAATCTTTTGCGCAAAGGCACATGCTAGTATAGATGCTCTCTTGCGCAAATACTTTAACGGAAAAACTTTTAAGAGTATTTGCACAAAATCATGCCAGTCTTGATGCAGTCTTAGTGTAATAGCTAAGGGGCTTGGATTGGGTATTAAGTATTGCTAAAGAAGTAGATTAAAAACAATGCCTCTAATATTGAATTATTCTAAAGAGAATCTAGTGTGCATGAACCTGCAGTCAAGCTGTAATTTGACCTTATAAAAACAATGTTTCTGGAATGGCTTAAATCTGTAGGCTTTTACAGTCCTGACTGCCAAGCCATGTTCAGAGGGGTACACTGAGAAGTGAAGGTGACTCAACTAGTGTTCTTTTTTTTAAAAGGGGATGTCAGTTTGATAAAACACCATGAGCTTGATTTTAATCAAATAAAATTGCCTTAGTTTGCTGAAACGTGGAAATAAGTCACAGATATGTAAGGCTAAGTTAGTCCTGGAAGAATCCACATAAGATGATGGTAAACTCCTAACTTGTATGCATTGACTTCCCCTGTTTTAGGGTACATCTATGCTGCACTGCTATTTTGGAATATTTCAGTTATCCCAGAATATCTATGAATATCTTTTTGAATATCCCAGAATATCTTTTTGAAATATAATTGCTCGCTATTCTGACACTCAAGGTTTACAGGGATGTTTTGGGATAGTGGTTTATTTTGAATTTTTGCACCAAATTACAAAATAGCTTATTCCGAGCTAAGGCTGCAGAGCAGATGCACCCTTAGTTGTCACCTTCCCCTGTAAGCTTGGCCATAGTAGTGTGTAATGACCAAACTGCCATCTGGCATGAGTGCCATACCTGGAAGAACTTCTTCATGGTCATCCCCAGATAGAAAGTGGGGGATATACCCTTCAAAATATAGATTGCCTATCCCTAAATCCAGCTTTGCTCATCTTATACACGAGACACCTCAAACTAATCTTGTATAGTATGCTAGAATGCCCCTCATTAAAAGACTGGGATCTCCATCTCCTTTCTCAAAGTACTAAACTATGTCAGGTAAGCAGTTTTGGAACTACAAGAACAGAAAACACTAATTTCAGTGCTATGCTACAAAAATTACTATATATAAAACTAGCTCAGGTTCTGGAATAGAGACTCCAGTATTTGCTCAAGAAGCATTTAGGGGAGGTGTTTAACAAAATTCTACTGCAATATTGCCATGTTCCTTCTATCTCTAATTTCAATGGAAAGACTCTAAGCAGTGCTGATAAAAGCACCACATGATGCCCATTATTTTGTCTTGGGGGAGGGGTGGAGAATGGTATTTTTTACCTTTTCTGTACTTTTTACCTCCTTGTGGCTACTATATTTTCTCTGAGGAACACCCACCAATCTGTGTCTTCAAAGACAAAGCACATAACACTGGAAGTGCATTGGCTTTATTACTGATTAACACACAATTACTAGCAAGACATTTTTGCCATAAGCAAGGAAAGCTTACTATGTTGTACCAGTGAAGAAAAACCAGACTGCAAAGCAGAAAATCACCATTAAGAATGAGAGCCTGTCCTTAAGGTACTCCATTGTGATGAGGCAATAGTTCTCAACCTTATTCATACCACCCTTTCCAACAATGTGTGTGTGTAATCCTGACATGAGTTCATGGAGTCCAGGTTGTGAATTTGTGCTAAAGTACTCCCCTGCACATTGTGTAGAACATAGCAGCAGCCAATAGGAGCTGGGGGAAGAGGGGAAGGGAAGGGATGTGCCTGCCCAAAAATGGCTGCACGCAACCACCTGTCCCACCCAGAGCTGTGCCTGATAGGTTTCCCCCCCCCCATCTTCTGGCCCCTCCTGCTGAGACCCTTATCCCACTTCCCACTAGCCCTCTCCCACATACTGAACCCCCCCTAATTGTTGGCCCACCCCAGAGCCTCAGGAGGCCCCCAAAAATCTACCTGCCCCCCAAAGAATTAATCCAGCCTGGGGGGGGGAAGCCCTTCCCTATAGGGCTGGAGTGCAAGGGTAACCTTGAGGCCCCAAGATGCATGAGTGAGGTGAGTGTGTCTTTTTTCCTGCCTATCAATGCTACCTAGCTGAGTTTTCTGAGGGTCATTGGCCCCTAATGCCAAAAAGGGTTCTCACCCCTAATCTAGATTGTTCCTGATAAAAACTTTATGTGAAAGACACTGGAGCAAAATAGTTGGCTGTCACTTAATGATTATTTAGAGGGCAGAGCCCAATAGTAAAATCCCAGTAAATGTATAGATAGAGCAGCTATGACTTTAGCATTCAGTGCTACTTCATACAAGTAGGATTTCTGCTCCAGCCCTAGTATGTGTGTTTCATTAGCTCTGCTGAAAGGAGATATGACAAGAAGGAGCACAGTGGCAATAATTCAGATGGGTGGAAGTGGTCTTAATTTCTTGGTTTCACTTTAGAATTAATAGATTCCAAGGTGAGAGGGGACCGTGGTATATAAAAAAGGCCATAGACATTCCTCAAAACTAATTCCTAGAACAGCTTTCTATTAAAAATAAAAATTCAGTATAGATTTAAAAAGTCGCTAGTGATAGACAATCCACTGCAATCCCTGGTACACTGTTTAAAAGGTTACATGCCCATCACTGTTAAAAATTTACACTTCTATTTCCAGTCTAAATCTGTCTAGCTTCAACTTCCAGGCAGTGAGTCATGCCATACCTTTTTCTGCTAGACTTAGCAGCCCATTATTAAATAGTTGTTCCTCTGGTATGTATTTGTAATAAAGTAACCTTAATCTTCCCTTTGAGATTCTTGAGTTGATTCAGCTTAAACAATCTCACTGTAAGGCATGTTTACTGATCATTTAATCATTCTTTTGGCTCTTCTCTGAACTCTCTCTAATTTATCAATGTCCTTCGTGAATTGTGGGCTCTAGAACGGGATACAGCATTCCAGCAGTGATTACAACGGTGCTAAACAGAAGTAAAATAATCTCTCTATTCCCACCGAAGAGTTCCCTATTTATGCATTCAAGGATAGCGTTAGTCCTTTTGGCCTAATTAGTCCTTTTGTTACACTGTGAGCCCATCAACTGTTTATCCACTCCTCAAAACTCTCTTTCAAAGTGACTGCTTCCCAGGATGAAGTCTCCATCTTGTAAGTATGGCCTAATTTCTTTGTTCCTAGATGTATACGTTTTCCTTTAGCCACATTTAAATAAATGTTTTTTGCATGTGCCCAGTCATACGTCAGTGACCTGTCCTCTTCTTTATTTACCCACTCCCCCAAACCTTGTATCCTCTGCAAACTCTGTCAATCGTGATTTTGTTTTCTTCCAGGTTACTGATAAGGTTTTTAATAGCAGAGGGCCAAGAACTAATCCCTGTGAGATGCACTAGAAACACACATGCTGGATGAGTCCCCATTCACAGCTATTTTGAAACCTAGCAGTTAGCCAGCTTTTAATCTGTTTAGCTCCTCACTCCTTTTAAAAAGAGCACTATGATGTAAAAAGGGTAGTCTACACTGCTCTCAATGTATTATTCTGGGGGCTTTGAACATCTCCATCAATGCCTGAGAAATGCTGTCCAAAGATGTCCCATATTGTGTGTTCACTTCTTCCCTTCTCCAAAAGGTGTTTCAAAACTGTGTAGCTGAAGGTATGACTCACCGGGACTCTTTGATGTGTTTGTGAAGATATTCTGCATGCAACTGTGGTACCAAAGGGTCTTTCCCACCATGTATTATAAATGTTGGACACTTTATATGAGGCAGTAAATGTTGACAAATGTTACCTGAAAAACACACGTAAAGTTTTTTATTTTAAAATATGAATGATTAAAACAGAAAAACTTGTTAGACAATAGTAACTTGTATTGTATCTCATACCATTAGCACCTATTATCATGTTAGAACATAACATAAGAACATAAGAACAGCCGTACTGGGTCAGACCAAAGGTCCTTCTAGCCCAGTATCCTGTCTACCGACAGTGGCCAGCACCAGGTGCCCCAGAGAGGGTGGACCGAAGACAATGATCAAGCGATTTGTCTCCTGTCATCTCTCTCCAGCCTCTGACAAACAGAGGCCAAGGACACCATTTTATCCCCTGGCTAACAGCCTTTTATGAACCTAACCTCCATGAAATTATCTAGCTTCTCTTTAAACTCTATTATAGTCCTAGCCTTCACAGCCTCCTCTGGCAAAGAGTTCCACAGGTTGACTACACACTGTGTGAAGAAGAACTTTCTTTTATTCGTTTTAAACCTGCTACCCATTAATTTCATTTGGTGTCCTCTAGTTCTTCTATTTAGGGAACTAATAAATAACTTTTCTTTATCAGCCCTCTCCACACAACTCATGATTTTATAGACCTCTATCATATCCCCCCTCAGTCTCCTTTTTTCTAAACTGAAAAGTCCCAGTCGCTTTAACCTCTCCTCATATGGGACCCGTTCCAAACCCCTAATCATTTTAGTTGCCCTTTTCTGAACCCTTTCCAAGGCCAAAATATCTTTTTTGAGGTGAGGAGACCACATCTATACACAGTATTCAAGATGTGGGTGTACCATAGTTTTATACAGGGGCAGTAAGATATTCTGTGTCTTATTTTCTATCCCTTTCCTAATAATTCCTAGCATCCTATTTGCCTTTTTGACAGCCGCTGCACACTGCGTGGAAGTTTTCAGAGAACTGTCCA